ATCCCTTTAAATAAATAAAATATAAAATTGCCAACATGTTTCTTTTCTTCAGATTTAAACAATCCAATTCAAAAATAACACCAAAAGGGAAGACATATTGCCAAGAATCTTTGTTACAACAAAAGATATAATCAAATAAACACTTTTTTAAATTTTTCTGTGCTAAGTATATTTACAAAATGATCCATAGTGGATGAGCTCTTTTTTTTCCTAGTTTGCAATTAAAATGCAAAAATCCAAAGCACGGCCCTATTTATACCCTATGGTTGTGATTAGAGAACAACACTGATCAGGTTCCTTCAGAGCAATTACACTGGCCGTTCAGCGACACAGCTGACTGACTCCGCTCCACGTTGACCTCACTTAATCGTATTTAATGCAGAACTGTTGCATCAGCCGTGCTCTCGTGTGCACGGAGGAGCTGTGTCTACGTTTTTCTTTTTTGCCTCTGCTCYGTTACATAAGACCTCCCAGCCCATTATTCTCTTGTAAGCTGACTGAGCCCCGCAGAGCAGAGGGAGAAATTAAATTAAATCATTGCAAATATGGCTCATCAGGATGTGAGTTTTTCTTCTGTCTCGCAAACACACACACACACACACACACACACACTCACACACACACACACACACACACACACACACACACACACACACACACACACACACACACACACACACACACACACACCTACACATACACACACAGAGACCCCCTGGTGCAAACCCCCGTCAATTCAGGAGCAGATTGCCATCATCGGTGTGTCAGACATGAATCATGGATCTTGACCTCTCCTTCGCTTCCATCCTGAAGAGCAGAACTGTTTGAGTGTGTGGGGGAGGGGTAAATAAAGGCTTCATGCATTTGAAACTGTTGTTCTTATTTACTTCTCTTCTCTAGGATGGTGTTAGCTTTGAGGTGCGTCGATATGACCCTGCGAAGTATGCCGCAGTCTCCTCTGAGGGACGAACCTACGACCAGGTGATAGGGGAGCTGGTGAGGAAGCTGCTCATGTACATCGGTGGGAACAACGAACAAGGTCAAACAGACAAATGAAACCTTCTTCATGTTTACCAGTCATTTTAAAGCATAACTTTTACAGTCAATTATAAGCTAAACTGAACGTTCAACGGAATTACTGGAATGCTGTGAAAGACGGGCATTTAAATTCATACTAGAAGCATTTTTGTAAGGATTATTTAGGGGGTTTTTTTTGTTTGTTTTTTTGGTGTGTCCGCCATGATCTCAGCAGCCAAAAGTGGATTCCACACAAGGTTGAATTATCCATATCTTCAGATACTTTCACAGCTTCTTCTTCCAGCTCTTCTGGGAGGATTCCAAGGCGTTCCCAGGCCAAACAGGAGACAGACTGTGTCTCAATTCGTGGGTTGCGGCCGACGTTGGCTGCAGTCAATGTGGGCCGTAGGCCACTCGTATCGGCTGCATAAACAGCTGTGAAATGGGATGGTCTTCCCTACAGAAGACTTATGTTTGCATGACCACACTCTGCCTCGTTACCGTGTGATACGTTTTATATCACATCGCTTCAGTTGTTTTTTCAAGGTATAATTCATAAAATTAAGTTTTAATAGAAAGTTTAAATGAATAGTCTCGCCAGTGTGTCTTGGGTTTTCCTCTGGGTCTCCTACCAGTTGGACATGCCTAAAGTACCTCCCTAGGGAGGCATCCAGGAGACATTTTTACCAGATGCTCAAACCACCTGAACTGGCTCTTCTCAATGGAGAGGAGCAGCAGCTCTACTCGGGGTCTCTCCTGGATAACTGAACTTCTCACCCTACCTCTAAGGGAGAGTCCAGATACCCTGCGGAGAAAACTCATTTCGACCGCCAGCATCTGTGATTTCATTCTTTCGGTCAGTACCCAAAGTTCATGACCATAAGTGCGGGCAAAAACGTAGACTGATCAGTAAACAGAGATCTTCACCTCACAGCTCAGCTCCCTCTTAATCACAACAGACCAGTACAGAGTTCACAAAACTGTGAAAGCCGCAACGATTCATCTATCAATCTCACGCTCACGTCTTCCCTCACTTGTGAACAAAAYCCCAAGAGACTTGAACTCCTCCACTTGAGGCAGAACTTCACCCCCAACCCGGAGAGCGCAGTCCACCCTTCCAACTGAGGACCGTGGACTCAAATTTGTAGGTGCTGATCCTCCTCCCAGCCGCTTCACTCTCAGCTGTGAACTGCTCCAGTGAGAGATGAAGATCCTGGCATGATGACGCCATCAGGACCACCTTATCTGCAAACAGCAGAGATGAAATCCTGAGGCCACCGAACCGGACTGCCTCCGCCCCCTGACTGCATCAAGACATTTTGTCCATAAAAGTTATGAACAGAATATGTGACAGAAGTGGTAGAGTCCAACACACAACCTGAAGGGGTCTGACTTACTGCTGGCAATGTGAACTAACTCTGGTATTGCTTGTATAGGGACAGAATGGCCCATAACATCAGACCCACAACCCCATTCTCAGAGCACCCCCACAGTGTACCTCGAGGAACACAAYTGAATGCCTTCTTCAAGTCCACAAAACACATGTAGACTGGATGGGCAAATTCTCATGACCCCTCCAGGACTCTAGTGAGGGTGAAGAGCTGGTCTAGAGTAATACTTTTATTTACTTTARTATTTTGAGTTAGAATAATCTCCAAAACCTATTGATAAACACCATAGGATCAGCATGTCTCTTCTTTTCAAAGATAAACTCATTTTGAATCTAATATTTATGATAACTTTGAGCAGTTAGCTCAYCAGTTGGGTCAGAAAAAAACTCTATGATTTTAAATTTTAAGTTATTAAAAGTYCATAAGCTTCCTGATGAGACCCACTTCAAAATATCTAAATTAGAGCTTTAATTGTTTTTCCATCTTGTTAAACTCCACCTTCTTTGACTCTGTATTCCCAGGTGAGGCCATGGGTATAGCGTTTCCCATCATAATCACGGTGTATCCACGCAACGATGGCGTTTTCTCTCGACGTTTGGCTGTAGGCATCMGAATTCCTTCCACCTACCAGCAGAGCCCCCCGACACCCAGTGACAGTGCCATCAGGATCGAAGAGCGACCTGGCATGACCGTCTACACTCTGTATGTACAGTTTAAGTGTTTAATTTGACAGCTACAGTCCAGTTAAACCGGTAGTGTTTGCAAACTGATGAATACAGGTGCAGCTCAAAGAATTAGCGTATTGTGAAAAAGTTCTGTTTGTCTGTCAGTCAGTTCAGAAAGTGAAACTCCTGTGTTGCATAGATTCATTACTCAGAGTTCATTACATTTCTTGTAGTTTTGATGATTATGGTTTACAAATAATGGAAAAAACTAAACTCAGATTCTTAGAACATCAGAGTATTATATGGGGGGGCTTTGGAACTTTGGGCAGTGTGGGCAGGAGCCAAGTCCTGCTGGAAAATAAAAYCAGCATYTCCAYAAAGCTTGTCATCAAAAAGAAGCAAGAAGTGCTYTAAAATGTCCTGYGTTGACTGTGGACTTGATAAAACAACAGCAGCAGATRACATGGCACCACAAATCATCACTGACTGTGGAATCTTCACTCTGGACTTCAAGCAACACAGATTCTGTGTCTCTTCAGTCTTCCTCCAGACTCTGGGAGCTTGATTTCCAAATGACTTTCATCTAAAAAGAGGACATTAGACCACTGAGCCAGTCCAGTTCTTTGTCTCCTCAGCCCAGGTAAGACACTTCTGATGTTTCTGGTTCAGGAGTGGCTTGACTTGAGGAATGGGACATTTGTAACTCATGTCTAATGAATTTGAACTTGGCACTTTCCCACACTGCCAATAGTATCAAAAGCTGCTTTTGAAATATTCAAAATTTYTGTAATTTATTATCATCAAAATTACATTTAATAAAATCCTGAAATATTTCACTCTATGATGAATGTGTGTCAGGGATGGGCAACTTCAATGATGAAAGGAGCCACAATTTTTGTTGACACTACCAGAGGGCGAAATAGCTGCACACATAAGATAAGATAAGATAAGATAAGATAAGATAAGATAAGATAAGATAAGATAAGATAAGATAAGATAAGATAAGATAAGATAAGATAAG